GAGCTCTGTCGGGTTAGGCTGAAGTGAGCTGTCCAGTCGACGGTTTGGTTATATGGCGTCTGGCAGTTTCTTGACTGGCAGGCGAAAGAAATCCAACGAGACGCCTGCACTCAGGGAAGGCAGGGGCTGCCATGGAGTCTAGGGGCAACGTTAAGGGGCAACGTTAAGGAATAATGCCGGGAAGGCTTGGAGGACGAATGATTCTGTGTGAATGGATATTGGTTACCGTTGGGAATGGCAGCTGTGGACTATCCCAATGTCGACAATCGCTGGCTGCGAAAATTGGGGCCGGAGTACATCGGATTTGGCTTCTGCAACAGAATGTGAGTTGTGTGGTGCAGAATTTGCGTGTTGCGACTCGCGAGGCTGAGACTGCATGTGCGCACACCTATGCAGAATGGGGCTAAATATGGCGGCTGGTCCGACGGTTCGGCTATCATGGATATTTGGTTTGTGTTGTCTGGCCTGCAGCACAGGTTCAACAGAGCGCCTCTGCAAAGAAATGGTAGCGGGTACCAGCAAGTGCGTCGATGTTCGAAGAGCGTTTTTCACGGCGGGTGTGGTACAGCATGGGTGGAACTATGCGGGCAACTGTGATTTGAAAGGCTTCATAGTGCCATCGTGTACTCGCTGCGGCAAATGCCGTAGGGGATGAGGGCACCGCTGAATAATACCAATTGAACACCGGGTGCTGACATGGCTGCTTGCGAACTGACTCTGGCTGCCGTTAGGCATACAGGTTGGGAAGCAGCTCAGCAGCAATGAACGCTGGCTGGGAAGGCGACAGAGCCAGTAGTCACGATATTGCGTCTGCTGCAGGAGGCGGCTGTTGGGGAGCAGGGAGTGCGTATGGCGGCTCATGAAGCTGAGGCTCCATGTGCGCCAAGATCTGTAGGGCCCTGCTGGAGAGAGCGGTTGGCTGGACACCTCGGTTATGGTGGCGGTTGAAGGTTTGATGACTGGCCGGCGAGAGCGATACCACATAGCGCCTCTGCTCAGGAATGGCAGATGATGGTGACAGGAGCATGGACTTTCGCAGTGCCATCTGCAGATCTGTTGTAAAGCATAAGCGGTGGAACGATAGCTGCAACATCGGTTGCACTGTCTACATACGTTCGCAGATTCACCGTGTACTCGGTGAATCTGCGAACTGTAGGGGCTGAGGGCAACGGTGAATAATACCAAGTGAACACCGGATGCCCACATGCTTGTGTGGGGACGGACATTCGCTACGGTTAGTCATACCGACTGCGGAGCCGAGTAGCAGCGGTTAGCGATGGTTGAGGAAAATGGTGTTTCAGGGAGCTGATTGGATCTATGGCGGAAGGTGGGCATTGCGGAGCAGTGCGTGCGGCGGCGCGCGCGCGTGCGGCGGCTCATGACACGGAGGTTGCATGCACGCAGAGCTCTGTAGAGTGCCGCAGAAGGCAGCGACTGATTCGACGGCTCGGCTATGATGGCGGTTGAACGATTGATGACTGGGCGGAGAGAGAGGTCCCACAGAGCACCTCTGCTCAGGAATGGCAGTGGCTGGCAGCAGGAGCATGCGCTTTCGCAGCGACGTCTTCAGATTTGTTGTAAAGCATGAGTAGACGAGCGCCGGCTGCAACAATGGTTTTAATGGTTGCATAAATTCGCAGACCCGTGTTGCATGTACGGACGTAAGTGCCATAGGGGCTTGAAGCAACGAGGAATAATTTCAAGACAACACTGGGTCCATAAATGCTTGCCCGAGACCACGCGGTGGCACCCTCTAAGGCTACTCTTGCGGAGTAGGTCGACAGCGACTATTGCTGGTCGGGAAGATTCGAGTTAGATTAGGTCGCACTTGGTTGCTGCTGCAGCAGGTCGCTTGGCCACGTTAGAGAGTGCGTGTGGGGCCGCAAAAGCTGAGGCTGGTTGGGAGCAACCTTGTGTAGAGTGCGACTGCAAATGGCGCTGGATTAACCTGTTCCGTTGTGTTAGCGGTTGGCACTTTGTTGACTGCCCAGCCGAACGAATTCCACAGAACGCATGCGCTCAGGAATGGTAGAGGGTGCTAGGTTTAACGTCGACGTTAGGAGGGCACTTCTCATGGTGCACGTGGGGAGGCATGAGCGGAGGTGCGATGGCGACGATAATTATTTGAACGGCAGCATCCGTTTGGCGAACCAACGTGTAGCTTCTGCAACAAATGGCATAGGGTTTGCGGCCAACGCCGAAGGCGATCAAGTGTATGTTGCAAAGACAAACGCTTGTGCGGGCCCCGAGATTAGTTACTTTTAGGAGTGCACGCGGTAGAGTAGGTCAGAAACGATAGCCGCTAGCTGGGAAGATTGGAGACGCAGTATGTCGCATTTGGAGTTTTGAGCAGCAAGTGGCTGGTGCGTTGCAGAGAGTGCGTGCTGTGGCTGGCAAAGCTGAGGCTGCTTGCGCGCAGGCATTTGTAGAGTGTGGGTGCAGATGGCAGTTGGCTC